AGTATTTGCATGGCACTTTTGTTTATAAAATAAACTTCTTCATATATGATCTCATTTAATTCTCATACTCACCCCTGAGACATTATCAGATTTATTATTATTCCTAATTTACTAATGAAGCAAATGGAGCTTAGGAACATTCGTAGACTTTCTGAAGATTATACAGCTAGTAAAGACAGAGTCTGGGGAGTTATTTCTCTATAATAGAAAATATCTTGGATTTTAAATTTGATTGGCTGCATTCTCACACTGACTCTTAACAGTCTCTCTGGAATAATTTCAGAAGTCTCCCCAGTCCACCAAGGTACTCAGCCTCTATGACATTCTGTCATCCATCAAAACTATATAACAAAATGTTATCTAAAATTTAGATAACATGCACCCTGGATTCAACCATGAAAGTTTTAACTTAAATTCATCACTAAGCAGAGCTCATTTCAATAATCCAAGAAGCTCATTGGCAAGCTCACTGGGAGAAGGAACACATAGGGCCAAAGTTAAAATTAGCTCTACAAATTGTTTAAAAGCAGCAAGAAAAAGATAGCATTGTACTGACACAAGCTTTTCCACCTTCATACAGCTAAGCTCCAATAGCCCAGGATCAGAGAGTTAAGAGGGAACTTCTTTCCACTTAAGGCTCAAGAACACTAAGTATGTATAAACTCACATAGGCACCCTCTCTCCAGTTTCTGTCTCTGAGAAGACTGATCATGTAAGTTTGCATCAATTTACAGCTAAACCACAAATCAAGACACAAGAAAACTAAGACCTTTTCCACTCGAATATTCATCTATCACTACCAGGCTAATAAACAAAGGAAGCAGCTACCTGTTTAATCATTCAGACTTAAAAATCAATCCTCCTGAAACTACACATCCACTGACAGGAGAGGGGGAAACAAAGCCACATTAATACTGGCCCAACACCATGCCCAAAGGTCTGACAAATAATCAGGGAAAGAGAGGCAACCTGTAAAAAGGAACAATGTAGACCTTGTTTTTAAGTTACCAAGAGACTTAATTTCCATAGAAGTCCAATTTAGTCTGCTGGAATAACTTCAATTTCATATTCATTTCTAGTACTAACTTACATTACTTGGAATTTTATCTTGTGTACCCTCTGCAGATGAACTAAAATATTCCTGAGAAGAGTGGAAAGGATATCCACCTCCAGTGAAACTTGTACGGTACGCCTGTCTTCAAGTTATTAGGGAAACACAGCTTTCTTCTACATTCTAACACTGACTTAGAAAACCTTAGCGGATCTCTGCAACTCAAACAGCTGCCCTTTCTCAAATTGCTGCCTAAGTAATTTAACTACTTAGGAGTCTACCTAAACTACGTCAGTGCCAATTTGCCCATAGGATTATAACTATAAACTTTGTAAACCTTCTTTTTGATTGACAGTCAAGAACTGAATGCTAGTTTGGAACTACAAGTTTGGAAAACCTTATTCTTCAAAGATAAAGCTGTAAAGACCTGTAGTCTAGAACTACTCTAAAATTCATGTCAGATATAATGGAAACCTTAAGAGATCACCTAATGTCATGGTTCTCAAACCTGGTGGCGCATCAACATAATTGGCTGGGCTTTAAAGCAGGGATGCCACCTAAAAACAATTTTTATAAAAATTTAATTAATGCCCAGATCCTATCTCTGAGTTTAACTAAAATGATCACACATAAAGGCTCCATGTGGGCTGGCAGTGGCCAGATACGCACCAGGGGCTGCAGCTGACCATCCACACAACAGCACACAGAGCGCCCTATGGGATACTTCAGATGGAAGTCCTTTCCTCTGCCTGTTTACATCTGCAGTGCTTGACACTGTTCTTCTCCAATGTCTCCAGTGCCCAGTATGGAACAGATGCTTTATAAAGTAATGACAAATAGGTGTCATGAATATGCACACACAAACACAAGATTTTACTTTACTCTCTTGAGAGAAATTCAAAGTGGGATGAGATCACATGGTTATTCAAGAAGAGGAAGCTATCAAAATTGTAAGGGGAAGAAAATTCCAACTAGAAGTCATCTATTTTATTCTCTGCTATATATCCCTGGTGTCTTCAGTGCAACATTTTAAAAAAATGTTGAATTTGCGAAATGACTATAGGAATGAATGGGTGGCACTGACTCTGGGCTTGACTATATGGCATCTTCTGCGCAATGGAACATGAGAAATTTTAAACGTTTTACCTTGTCCCTCTTTGCCTGCCCCCCCCTCCCCCGCAACCCATAATCCATAAGAAGTCCACTCTCAGGTAGCTACAGCCCTCTGGAGCAGGGCACCAGAATGAGCCCACCTGAGCCCAATGTAAAGCCTGGGGACAAGCCAAATTGTCCCATGAGTGAGAAAAATAAATGCTTATTGTAATAAGCTACTATTGGCGTGGTTTCTAACAAAATATTATTGTGGCAATATCTAATAAAATGAGGCTTAAAAAAAAAAAAAAGCCAGAGGCGCTTTGGAAAAAAGACTCAAAGTAGTACTTTAAAGTATTCAAACAGCCCTGGAAAAAAAAATAATAACATGATTGGTGAGGTGTTCTCTTGGTCTATGTAATAAAATCACCATGCTCTGAAGGTGGGTGAATGCAGGGTAAGACTTACAGAGAACAAAGAAAGCTAAAATATTAGTGTGACTTAAAGCTACTTCCCTCATAATCATTCAGAGATATCCAAATCATGAAGAGCTCAGCCCTTCTTGAAAGATAAGAACTTGCTACTTCTTGGTGAAATGCTGTCCCTTCCCCGTACTGTTATATAACAAATTTTGTTATATAACAAAATTTCTAAATTTATACCAGCAGGGACTAAGTTTCGATTTTTTTTGAGCAGGGCCCTTATATTTTGAGCTTCTTAGCACCCAGCCCGTACATAACCACTAATAACCTCAAAATGGAAGGAGGAAAAAAGGAAAATAGTCCAAATCTAAATACCGCTATCTTATCCATTCTACAAAGGTAACACTTATAAGACACAATTGGTTTAATGACAAATTTTCAAAACGAAAGAAAAACAAAAAATTAGTTACATTAAATGTGTTCAATTTCCAAAAGCTATTCTGATTGTAATATGAAAATGTAAGAAAAAAATACACATAAGAATACACCTAAGAATAAAGGAAATATACCTAAGAATAAAGGAAATACTGTAATTGTTCTTTCAAACCACAATCCTTATTCCCCCTTAGAATACAATCCCCTACTGACATAAGTACAGCTTGAAGGATCCAGCTTTAACAAACTACAGAACCTACTTAGAAAGATTTTCGGTAAAATATATTTGAGAGCGCCAGTGATGTATTAATGTTGAATTAGACTAAATATTGTAAATTTTGACACAAGCTAAGTCTGCTAAGAACTGTTTTCAATAAGTCTTTTCTAATTCTAAACCACATTACCTGACAGTATCACTCACCTACTAAGCCATGACTAAAACAAGTTGTTAAGTCAAACAGAAAATAATATTTAAATAAAAACAATATTATTAGGCTGCCTCCATTTGCTACTCATGTTCTTCTGATATGCAGAAGTCAAACTGAAACATTTAAATTAAAAAAAGTTAGCTTTAACCAATCTCCTTGTCATTCCCTATTCTTCTGATGTGTGGCCAATTTATCAACACAACCATGTGACCTGCTTTATTTCACTTATTCTTAAAATAATGTACCAATCCAATGACTATGTCTAGAACCACATCATGTGTCAAGCACTGCTTTAGGACAGGGATACAGCAATAACCAAGGACCTATATGCCACTGACAGAACTAAGAAGTAGGGATACACATATCTACTTTCCAGGGCATCACAGAATGATCCAGGTCTCTCCCTCGAGTATGGCCAACAAGGAATAAATAAAATACATTTATTGGTTAGAACTGGTATAACTTCTATCTGCCTCTTCCTAACCCCTTTCCAACCAATCCAGCTTAATTCTAGCACAGTAAGAAATCACACCAAACATGGCTCCATGTAAACAACTATCAAAATGAGGCTACACTATATCAACCTTAACTGGAATAAAGGTTCTTAGTTTCTAAGATTCTCATACATATCAGTATGATGCCCTTAAAGTAAATAAATCATTCTTGGCACCTAAAGAAAATGTATCCTACATATTCCGATTCATAGCACAGAATATGTATTCTGATTGAACTAGTCTGAAATAACAACCCAGGAAGCAATGGTTTTCAAACCTGGATATATTTCAGAAATACCTGGAAAACTTAAAAATCTCATTACTCAAGCTGCACTTAAGTAAGTAGAAGTAAGTAGCAAAGTTTGAGAACCACTGATGCAAAAAACTTGGGGGGAAACTGACTGCTTTCCAACTAATCTATGGATTAGAGGTGTGCTGACATTCCCTTCCAACAGAAGGAGTGAGATTCCCGCACATTTGTTCATTAAGAATTATTATGGGCCGGGCGTGGTGGCTCACACCTGTAATCCTAGCACTCTGGGAGGCCGAGGCGGGCGGATTGCTCGAGGTCAGGAGTTCGAAACCAGCCTGAGCAAAAGCGAGACCCCATCTCTACTATAAATAGAGAGAAATTAATTGGCCAACTAATATATAGAGAAAAAATTAGCTGGGCATGGTGGCACATGCCTGTAGTCCCAGCTACTCGGGAGGCTGAGGTAGGAGGATTGCCTGAGCCCAAGTGTTTGAGGTTGCTGTGAGCTAGGCTGATGCCGCATTCACTCTAGCCCTGGGCAAAAAGTGAGACTCTGTCTTTAAAAAAATAATAAATATATTATGGACCTAACATGGTATTTAAGGGAAGTTTCTGCTACCTGTCAAACTAGGAGAGATGGCACAAATTTGAACTTATGGAGGAAAAACATTATTTAAACTGAATGCCAGAAAAGAAATAAAAAAAATAATAAAGCTTTAAAACATCCCAAAATGTATTAGAATTGATGCTACCAAAAGTCAGGTTCCACTCCTAAACACCTGAAAGTAAGAGGCGGAGGGAAAATAACAACCTCAGGCTGGCTCGTGAAGGGTTTTTGTTTGTTTAATACATCTGAAAAGAATGCATATACAAAGAATTGAGACATGAGAAAGCATTGGTTCAACACTAATGAATCTACAAGAATTAGGACTTTGGGAAGGTGGAAAAGATTACCTAAACATTTTTAAAACTGGAATGCAACCAAACAAGCTGATAAAATCCTACTAACACGTATGAAGAGTCTTCATAAGACTCTTTCCGTGATTTTATTAAACTAGAGGAGCCTCATCTGGCTGCTCTAGGGTTCCTTATATGCAAAACAGAAAGGGGAGTCCCTGACTGGTCCCATGTTGTTAAGTGTTCTCCCACCCCACCCACCCCCAGCTTCTTCATGAAGCAGGCCTCCACCCTCACGACGTGAAGAGGATGTGAATCATTCCATAGACATGTCTTCTAGCACCGCCCCTCAAATCTCCTCTACATACCAGATCTTCAGCTGCGTTCTAGGAACACCATATCATATACTATCGAGTTGTAAATCTATGCTAAGCATATAAGACAATGACTGACAGGAAAAATTTTTTTAATTATGAACTCAATCCATTTGGGTATTTCAAAGGTGCAATACTTTTCTCATTTATCAGTGAAAGAATTAGAAATTAACTTCCAAAAAAATCAGCAATGGCAAACAAATTTCTTGAAAGTCACAGTCACATATATAGTGCATCCTAGAAAAGAGGAGGGGCAAGACAGGTTCCACCCACTTTCATGAGTTTCATCAAATACTGGATTCTACTCAAGGGTGGGAGAAAGGCAACTTTCAAAAAGGAGTATGTTATTAAATGAGGCATTTACTATACTCCTTCCTAAGAGCACCAGATGGGGAACATGTTTTCTAAACTAGATCTAGGAAGTGGAATGTGGAATCAATCCATCCTCCTCCCCTTAAGGGCTGTCCACTGGTTAATGAATTTAAAAAACAAGACTAAAAAACAAATCCCACACACACTCCCCCCAAAAACACAGGAAAAAAAAAAAACACAAAACTAAGATGTCCCAGATTACTCTCCAGAGTGGAACCAGGGAGCAGCTTCAACAATTCGAATTAGTCTGTTACAGAGTCATCACAAGCATGCCTTGCTTTAAAAAAAAAATTTCTTTTTTGAAACAACAAAACAAAAACTAGTACTGATCACTTTTTCTGACAATACACAATTACTCAAAATTAACTAGTATTGGGAGGGGGAAGGGGGGGCCATACCTATGGGCCTCGTCTCACACGAGTGCATGTGGGTAGGTGCAGGGCATTTGTCATTATTGCAAAAACGAATTTTAATTTTTAATCTTTAGTTTGATTTAAACATTGCTTTTAGTATGATGCCGACACCAGCTGTGCAGAAAGGGCTCTGGAGAGATGTTCATAGCAGCACACACCTGCGGCTCTTCTTCGGTTCTGGAGGCTCCAAGGCAGCCAATATTGCTTCATCAAATACATTCTTTAGGCCTTTCTGAAAAGGGGTAGAAAGAAAAAATGGGCAGTCTGATTTTTAGTACAATAAAGTTGGAGTTCAAATTTAAAACATTCAAACCCCCAAGAGGTGGCAAAGAAAGAAACATTAAAAACATCTCTGAATCTCAACACAATAATCTCACTTCACCAAGTTTTGTCCAGGGCACTGGAAGGATTCAGCAATTCAGGAGCAGAGCAGCAGATATTCATGAGTGAGACAGTGGTCCTTTGAGAAGGCTTTGTGCAGACCAATGTATGTCACAAGAAGCAAACAAGCACATATGTCATTTGCTTATTCAATATGAGTTTTGTAATGTGCTGCTGAAACATTTTACATAAAAAAGAAGGGAAGCAGCTCTGCATTCAAATGAAACAGCTGGATATGAAACAGGACTGAGAGGACAGGCATGGGTCAGTAGCATCCTTATTCTATGAAAGGCACAAAGAAAGAGAGCACGATTATGGTAGCGGCAAAGATAGTCACTTTGAACTCCCTTTACCCCAATTAGAGCCGAGGGGATTCAAAGGAGCAAAAATGTGAGTACCTGATACATATTTTAAATTAGAGCCAGTCAGTGCAACAGGAATAAAAGGTTCAGGCATTTATACAAACAATTGTATATTTTTAATTTCAAAATTTGAAGGTAACCACAATTATATGTTTCCCTCACAACAATAAAATCAGAAGCAGGAAAATATAAAGGTGGCAGCTTTACATCTCAACATTAACATTCCTTAAGTCAACTGTTAAAATGGAAGCTATTCTTAAAAGGTAATGTAACAAATGAATTCATAAAGCAGTAGCAGATACATCAATATCTTCCCCACCCCAGACTGACAAATACTCCACTATAGCACAAACAGCCAAAGCAATAGCAACACAAAGTTTCACTGCACAAGGAAAACCAGAAAAGAATCCTCCCTTCCCCATTACACTCTACTAGCAGGTCACCCCCTTTCCATAAAGTTTATCATGCAATTACAATAACAATTGATCATAAGAGTAAAATGATGTTTGTATTACTTTCTCCATCTAGAACTAAGATCTAGACGTGTTAAAGCTCTTCTTATTTTCTCCAACAGGACATTCTTAATGCCAGACCAAGTTCCCTTTTGCAATATTAACCCAAACCAAAAAGCTCTGAGCATCAGGCAACTCAAGCAGCAGAAAGTTAAACAGGTCCAACTTGACTACTGATCACAAAAAATATTCTATAAGATATTGCATTCTTGATCAAAAACTAATACAGAGGTTGCTCTAAGGTGGTGAGTAAAAAGACGCAGAGGCTTTCAAACAGGATGGTTTTATTCCTTTGTTTTTAAACGATCTTTCTACAGAAGTGGGACAGGAAGCAGCAGCAAAGAGGGGAAGGAGAAAACAGTTTAGAATATACAGCACTTCCTTTTGGGTTGAGTTTCCGGAGGCTCGAGGGCAGCTAGGATAGCCTCATCAAACACATTCTTCAGACCTCTCTACAAGACAGAGGGGAAGAGAGAGAATAGCAGCCAGGTTAGAGGATTAGAAAGACTAGCAGATACAATAGCAGTCCGGATTAAATGAGCTGAATTCACAGAAGCAATGTGCCTTAAGAAAAATAAAATGCCAGAATTCTAGATCTTAAATCCATTAAGAGAGTAGATCACTGAACAAAAATTTCACCTCAGGAAAGGTTAACTGTGCAAGAAAGCAATTTTTATGAAAATCCAATATGTTCACTTCTAAAAGAATCACAGATTGAAATCTAATATTACATTTTAACAAAAATAATGGACCATAATAGGCCAGGCACTGTGGCTCATGCCTGTAATCCTAGCACTCTGGGAGGCCCAGGCAAAAGGACTGCTTGCACTCAGGAGTTCAAGAACAACTTGAACAAGAGCTAGACCTTGTCTCTACTAAAAATAGAAAAAATTAGATGGGTGCAGTGGCACACACCTATGGTCCCAGATACTCAGGAGGCTGAGGCAAAAGGATCATTTGAGCCCAGGAGTTTGAGGCTGCAATGAGCTATGAGGACACCACTATACTCTACCTGGGCAACAGAGTGAGACTCTTGTCTCAAAGAAAAAAAAAAGTGAATAATGCCAGGAGAACAAAAATGAATACACAATCACAAGACAGATGCCTTGTAGAATCCCCCAATATTTTTACTGATAAAAACGGCATATACATTTTGGAAATACATCTATTATAATTTCAAGCTTATGTGAATTCAGCCCCTGAATAACTGAAGGACACAAATAGCAGACTAACAAGCATGCTTCATGTTTCTAGGTTCTGGATAGGATTAATCAGGATTCAAAGTAAATCAGTATCCCAGAAAAAGGGTCAGACATTTAAAAAGATTGTTAATTGCGCAATAGTACAACAACTGCAAGGAGTTTAAAGAAGGGACTCTAGAAACAGCATACACTTCAGTTATTCAGCAATATTATCAGAGCAAGTAACCACCACCCAAGTCATAAGAAAACAAAGAATGGAGTCCTAGAATGAGTTTTAGCAAGCAGTCCAATGCTTTCAGATGTCTGCATGGATATCAGAGCATAAAGCATGGAGTGAAAACAAAGAATATTCTCAGATCTATAGAGATAAAGACACAGAAATACACTTACACCTCAGCCAGAAACTCCAACGTGACAGTGTGACTCAGTAGTAGTGGTACCTTGGGCCCAGGTTATAGACTCACCTAAACTCACCTAAATCTGAAGCCACAAATTTACCACCCAAAGAAGTTTCACATGTTCTTTAGGTCAGTTTAATTTCAAGTAAAAATGTCCCCAAAGTCCCAGAACACAGTTCCAATGATAAATGCCAGCCCCAGACCATCCCAGGTGCTCCCACCCCCACCCTAGCCCCAACCATGGCATCCCAGAGGAATGGTACCCACACATTCCATTAGATACAAAATAAATGAGAAATAGTAATATGTACTTAATAGAAGCAAAAAGGTTAAAAGGCTTTTTTAATACATCATTTTCAAAGTAAAAATGCTATATAAAGTTAAAGTTCCTCTACAATTCTTTCTACACATCTCAGAACAAACTCTGGTAGTCAAATATAAAAGGAGGTAGTATGGAAAGAAAAATATGTTTTATAAGGAAAAAAAGAGGAGGAGGACCATTAGAAACTAGAGTGTATCCCTTAACAAGAAGGAACTCTTTCCTTGCTTAATGTGGACAAAGATGAACAAATTCCCTAGGAAACAAAAGTCATCTTTGTTTGATCCACTATCTGCTTATATAAGACTTTAGTTTTATAAAAACCAACAAATGGAATCTGAAGTCCTAAAAGTTCTAGCTCCCAAATACAACCACAGACCCCATTTTCTATCTTCTCCTCTTTTGACTTGTCCAAACTTCAAAATCTGGTGGAAAATGTACCTACTAAGGCCTTTTTTTAAACTTCCTAGTCTCTGCCAAATGATTTAATATAAACCCGTGCTCACACTGTAAAAATCTTATATTAAAAGCATGTAATCGTCTAAAGCTTCAGCAAGTGACCTAAAAATGGGGCCAGATGGCCTATTTGCCTCCTTTCCCCCAGAGTAGCCCATACCTAAAGAACAGGGGTATGTAACAGATACACACAGAATTAGTATCTAACTCAGACACAAGTATTTCACACACATCCTTCTCTGCCTCCCCTAGTACACACATACACATATACATTCTCTCACGCTCTCTCTCTCTTCTGAAGATAGTATCAAAACACAGAAAGAAGCACCAGGTATTTTTTTGAAATCTCAATCAGTACTATGTGTGAGAAGATGTAAATTTTTCTGAGTATTTAAATACCTGCTTTTACAACAGCACTAACCTGCCAAAAAAAAACTGGGTTTAGGAGAATCTGTTTAAATCATCTGATATTAGGCTTTGAAGTTATCCTGTGGAATATCCTAGTTAAGTATAAAAGTTTAATCTTTAAATATCCAACCAAGCACCAAATTGCAGGTTACTAAATTATGCACTAGGCTCTATATACTAAATACCCAGTACATATGTAATAAGTAATTATATATGCCATTTACCTTAGCATACATATAATTAAAAATCCAATAGTGTTTAAAAGATAAATAAAAATGAACAATTACCTAAAAAAGTACATGATAAATGCCCTCACAACAGCACTCAAAGGAGGGAATTGGCAATATTGTAAAGGTAGAGAAGATTAAACCATGCATGTCATTTATAATTCTTACTCCTAAGATTGCTCCCTGTCCTCAGAATCTGAGTTTCCCATCAAACTACAAGAGTGCCAATTAAATCACTCCAAAATGGCCAGGAGGAAAGAGAGGTCCACATGAGTAAGAAATACCTCCAAAAAACATAGGAATAGAGGGAAATATTAACATGCTCTATAACTGCGACATAAAGTATGCTTGAGAACTGTGGCAGAAACAGCCACGGCAGCCTTCTTTGACTTAAAAGTCTCAATTATTATGACTAATTCCCTGTCGCAGTTGAGTTACTCCAGAAACAGTGTAGCAACAGTACAGCATCAATTGTCACAACTGGCAAGAGATATATTTTATTATTATTATTAAAAACACAAGCCTAACCACTACAAATCATTCAGAACAACATGGGAGCTCACCAACACAAGAGCTTTAGAGACTAATGTCCTTCCATAAACACAGAGGCCTCTAACAAAAGAATGCACAACATGAAGCTGTTCCATATTCTTCCCAGACAGCACTGAGCATTGCTGATCACTATTAGCAATAATCCCTGTATCCTAATGCTCTAAGAAATTTCTCAACCCTAAATAAACATGGGGTTTCACAGCATCCTTACCTGTGTGAGTGCAGAACACTCCACATACTTGACAGCCTTCAGGTCACGGGCCAGCTTTTCAGCAGTCTCTGGAGTAATAGGCTTCTGTTTGTTCTTGGCAAGTTTCTCAATAGTAGAGGGGTCATCTCTGAGATCAATTTGGGTCCCGACAAGCAAGAAAGGAGTCTTTGGACAGTGGTGAGTTATCTCAGGCACCCACTAAAGAAAAGGTATTTTGAAATACACCTTTGTTAATCCATAAGCATCTAAAGCTATTTACAATTGGTGCACAGAAATTCTGTGATGACTTTTTTTTAGAGCAAGAATATCTGACAAACTTACCTTTTCTTTCACATTTTCAAATGAGGACGGAGAGACCACTGAAAAACAGACTAGAAATACATCTGTTTGTGGATAACTCAGCGGTCGTAATCTGTCATAATCCTCTTGCCCTAAGGAAAAAAATTATAGGGAAAATTCAGCACCTGAATCTTGGTGTCCTCTGAGAGGACATTAAAATCACAAATCACAGTACACTGGTCATCAGCCAGAAAGCAACTTATTTATCTAATAGAATGTATGGCTTTGTAATATAATATGTGGACAATATTCTTACTCGGCTAATTCGACCTAATATGTCAAGCATTCAGAACAGTAAGGAACTCACTATTACATTATTTGCTTTTATTACCAGTTTGTAGTTTTCAATCTTTGTGTCCATTAGTAATCCAACAATATTGTAATAATAAACTCCTGCTACAGAAATGATTAAAAATCAGTCCTAGTCAGATCTGGTAAAGAAACAATCACATTGAAACCATCTAAGGAAACAAAAATCTCAGTGAAACCCAGATGACAAAACCCATTGCCCATCATGACTACTAAAGCAGGTTCACATTTTTGTTTCATGTGTGCATATGAGACCAGTATTTGAAACTGAAAATGCCTAGAAAAAAAATTTGGCAAGAATCAATATGTACTGAAAAAGAATAAAATAAGAATTAACCAAAGAGACAAAAGACTTATACAATGAAAATTACAAAATACAGCTGAAAGAAATTAAAGAAGACATAAATAAATGGAACCACATTGGATGTTCATGGATTAGAAGAATTTAATATTGTTAAAATGTCAGTACTACCCAAATCAACCTTCAAATTCAATGCAAACCCTATCAAACTCCCAACAAGGACCCCAAATAACCGAAACAATCTTGAAAAAGAATAAAGCTGGAGGAGTCACACTTCCTGATTTTAAAACTTAATACGAGGCTACAGTAATAAAACAGTGTAGTACTTGCATCAGACAGACATACAAGATAACGGAATAAATGTGAGAACCCAGAAATAAACTCTCACACATACGTGATCCTAATGATTTTTAACAAGGGTGCCAAGACCATTCAGTAATAAAAGAGTTCCTTCAATAAACAGCGCTGAGAAAATGAGATATCAACATGCAAAAGATGAAACTGGACCTTAGCTAACGCAATATACAAAAATTAACTCAAAATAAATAAATACATCTAAGAGACGTAAGAACACTCAGAAAACATAGGGTAAAAGCTTCATAGCACTGGACTTGGCAATGAGTTTTTTGGATATGACACCAAAGGCACAGGTTGTAACCAAAGAAAAAAATAGATAAATTGAACTTCATGAAAATTTTAAAACTTTATACATCAAAAGATGGCATCAACAGAATAAAAAGGCAACCCACAAAATGGGATAAAATATTTGCAAATCATATAATTGATAAGGGATTAATATTCAGAATCTATAGAGAATTTCTAAAACTTAACAAAAAACCCCAGCCCAATTCAAAAACAGGCAATGTACTTGAATAAACATTTTCTCCAAAGAAGATATACAAATGGCCAATAAGCAGAGAAGATGCTCAACATCACAATCATTAGGGAAATGTCAAGTCAAAACTACAATGAGATGCAACTTCAGTCATTAGGATGGCTACAATCAGACAGAAAATAAGTATTGGCAAGAATGTGGAGACACTGAAACATTATGCACTGTTGGTGGGAACATAAAATGGGATAACCATTGTGGAAAAAACAATATGGGAGGTCCTCAAATTATTAAAAATGGAATTACTACATAATCTAGCAATTCCTTTTCTGAGTACATACTCCAAAAGAATAGAAAGCAGTGTCTCAAAGAGATACTTGTACAACCATGTTCATAGCAGCACTATTCACAATAGCTAAACATGGAAGCAGTTCATAGCACCAGTATTCATAATAGCTTAAAACTGGAGTCCAAATAACCATCAAATTGTAAATGGATACACAAATTGTGCTATACTGACAGAATGCAATACCACCCAGCAATGAAAAGAAACAAGTACCATGCTGCTGCTATTCTAGGAGCCTACAGAAAAATAAATAAATAAATAAATAAATAAATAAATAAATAAATAAATAAATAAATAAATAAATAAATAAGAAACAAGAAACAAGTACTGATACACATATGGAAGATTTCCACAAACATTATGCTAAGTGAAAGCAGTCAAACACAAAAGATCACATATTATCTGTTCCATTTATATCAAATCCTGGAAAAGCAAAACTGTGGAAACCTAGAAAACAAATCTATGGTTGCCTGGAACTGGGTCAAGGGAGGGGACAGGCTGCAAAAGGGCACAAGGAAACTTCTTTGGGTGATAAAAATGTTACATGTCTTGATTATGGTGGAGGGTGAGCAAAACTCATCAAGCTAAACACTTAATATGAGTGAACTGTATTACATATCATTAAAACTTTAAAAAAGGGCCGGGCGCAGTGGCTCACGCCTGTAATCCTAGCACTCTGGGAGGCCAAGGCGGGAAGATGGCTCAAGCTCAGGAGTTGGAAACAAGCCTGAGCCAGAGCGAGACCCCGTCTCTACTAAAAATAGACAGAAATTAATTGGCCAACTAAAAATATATATGTAAAAAATTAGCCCGGCATGGTGGCACATGCCTGTAGTCCCAGCTACTCGGGAGGCTGAGGCAAGGGGATTGCTTGAACCCAGGAGTTTGAGGTTGCTGTGAGCTAGGCTAATGCCACGGCACAATAGCCCAGGCAACAGAGTGAGACTCTGTCTCAAAAAAAAAAAAAAAAAAATTTCTCTACTTAACTGTTTACTATTGTTTCTCCATTTCACCCTCCCACTTAAATCCAGATAGTTCCTCAAAGTGGGCAGTATAATACATTCAATGAGAGCAATATGTTAGCTGGCAGACAGTGACAGAGTAACTCATAAAAAGTTTAGAATTCCTAATTTAAGGATCTAAAGGATATCTTTCTGAAATTTTCCTTTGGCTAACTGAGCTGATAATAAGAGACTACAAAGAGAGAAGTCAGAAATTATCAATAAGATGTGCAGCCACTGTTAAAAATTAGTAAGAAATAACACTGAGGAATTAGGTACATTTAAGGAAGAAAGTAATTTGTTCTTAAAATTTGGATAGTTGCCAACAAATGTCAATATACTCTGAGCTAGATATTGGTTTACCCTCAGAATATTTTCAGTTGCAGCATAAAATAGCAAGCCACCTATTAAAAGAAGCTATCTGAACATGTATTATACAGATGCATAATACTAAATAAGGCTTCAAATTTCAGAGAGTGATAATAAATACAGTACACAGTTTATAAACTTACAACCTTGGGCATATTTAGGAAACTATGGGCTTTCATAAGGGTTAGGGGAGCAGGGTGAAGGAAGATAATCAACAGACATATTTCCTATGAATTCATTCTCTTAAGTCTCTCCCCAACTACTAACCTAGTCACTAATTCTCTGCAAGGTGCACAGCGCACATCAGGATTCTGGTTCAATTCAGAGCTTGTCTAATGAACTCTGCTCTCATTCTACTTCATCTTCTACCAAAACATCCACCCTGGGAACTTACTCCCATCTGCAATCCCATGTCTGGGATTGCTCCATGGTCAAGCAACAGACATCATTATATTTAATCCTGCTAACTATTAACAAAAGGCAAGTGGTTTGCTAATATGCTAATTTCCCAAAATGTCCAAAAAAGACAAACAACCAACAAATGTTATCATTACAGATCAAAACATTATAAAAGACATTAAGTACCTGCAGTATCAAAAAGTCCAAGAGTATATGGCTCGCCACCAATCATAACTGTGACTGCATAGTTGTCAAAAACCTAAAAACAAAAATAATATGACACTGTTAGTGAAGAAGAGGAGGGTAAAAATAGGACAACTCTCAAGCTAAGGCTGTGTTTCCTTCATCAGACTTAATCTTCCCTTAGTCCATCCGCCTTCCTTATATAACCAGTCTTGCCAACTAAGCCCTTGTATGAGCTAAGTGGTTCTTGGGGAAAGTGACAGGGGCTGTGTTCTGGGATGCCTGCTCTACCCCGGCAGCCTGGATAAAGAGCCACACAAGGTTTAGAGGTATCACAGGAGCAGAGTCCTTTAGCTACACAAAGTGATCTTGTTCAAGTTTGAAACTTTTGAGACACCTCAATGTTCAATCTGATTTCTGATAAATTATTTCTTCATAAACCACTTCCTTTTAATCTAGAATTAAAATCTCCTAGATTAGTGATAATCTTTTTTCTCCTTTCAGGGTGCCAGATAGGAAGAGGCTTATTATAAAGAAGCCAATTTTGAGAGAAATAAAGTTTCCCTCAAAGTACAAGGAAAGTGTCCAATAAAAGGCTGTTGGGAATTTCATGAATAAAATTCACATTATTGGACACAAACCGCAAGACCAAAGATATCTTGACTAGATGTTTTATTTGTAAATAGACCATAAAACCCTTAGCAAAATCACTACAGCATATACTAATATTGGTTGTACTAATTATGTGTGAAAATGGGAGGTAATGATGCTAACTAAATGAAAAAAGACCCAACACTAATCCATGGATTCTTTTGAATTTACATCTGAAAAGCAATGCTTTCCCATACAACTGTAATTTGTCAATTTATAATAAAAAATGTTTAATTAAAAGATAAATAAATAAAATTTTTTTTAAAAAAGGAAAGCAATGCTTTCCAACTGGGAGAAGACCAGCCCTGTTTAAACCTTTTAGCTACCAACTCTAATTTTCTGATTCATGTTTTAATGGGCTGTGTGTGGGAGCTTATTTAAATGTAAGGAAGAGTAGAATCAAGGGCATGAGGGAGATGGCAGTTAAAGGAAAGTTAATTCTTGATAACAAGAACATAGATATGGAATGAATCTGGCTAAGCTGTCAAACCATATGGACTATTTTCTTAAGTCACACTTTAAAAAAAGGACCCAAGAATAGCCCTCCTTTACTGGGTTTTTCATATATAAGGACTGAACTGAGAATCAAAAAAGCTGGCTTCCAATCCAGATTCCACTTAGACTAAAGTGCAAGTCTCTCCCCTAAACTGGGCCTGAATTCCCTCATCCGTAGGAGGTGGATAATATATGTATGATCCTTTCCAGCTCTGTATTTCTGTTATTCTAGAAACAGCAACTCCCAGTTCATAGATGAGAACAAAAATGCACTTTACACCAAATCCATTTCCATGATAATTTAAACAAGTACCATGAATATATTATGTGTGCCTCATGGTCCATTTATAGGTTAATGGTCTTAAATAGGCTCATTTAAAATTTTGTTCTACCACTACTTCTCCCCCCTCTACCCTATCCCTTTCTTTCCTAGAAATCTACATATACACACACACGTAAAACACTCACAAGCCCACTTTAAATATAACACCAAATGATCCCCACTTTAAATATAACACCAAATGATCAGTCATAAAACAGACTCAGAAATGTTTATCAGTAAACATCTTTAATGGAAACTGAAATACAAAAATTCTAATAGTGTCACTCTGAAACAAGATCCATGTATCTCTAGAAATCCCTTATAAGTCCCTTGCAACCTCAAAACATCTTCCATTTATACTGTCCCTAAATGGGCCAATTCAAAAAATGTGATTTTTGTATTTAATTATACCTTCAAATTCTCCTCCTTCAAAAAACTTCATCATTTTTATTCCTATATCCTTGGCCTAGCTCAATCACTTGACTTGCCCTAGGATGTCAAGAAACTATCAATTCCAAGTGAACATAATTACCAGGCCTTCACCCCATATTCACCTTCCTGGTAATGCTCATGTCTCTGAAGATTAACCCAAAGTACTGATATGTTTTCTTCCTTTTCACTTCCAAAGATTACTAGTCCCATATTAATCATACAAAAGTTCCTCAAAACCCCTAAAATAGCTCACTTAACAGAGGTGGTAGCTACCACACCAGGCCAACCCCAACTCTGCACTCAATACTGAATGGGCAAGTATATTTAACACAATTATACCACTGGGTTAGTCAAGCAACTTGGGACAAGCCCTGAATTCCCAAACACATGCTTTCACAAATGAGTATTACTCTAAATAACTCTTTCTCACTTCAATATCTATTATTTTCATCTTCCCTCTACCCTTCCAAGGAGTTGATTTAAAAAAAAGCAGTTGTGGGAGATGACCCCCAAAGGTTTCTGTTGGTGTTCTCATAATAAAACAAGTCTTCTCTTTTCTGCCCCTAAGCACCAGTTTGGAGCTCCACCACTGCTAAGAGAACAGCTCCACAAGATAAGCAGAGACACATACTACTTTCTCTGAAGTTACAAGACCCCAAATAGCATCCCAGGAGACCTCCAAGCACTGATCAATCATTGGCCAAGATATCAAAAAAGAAAGTCACCTCATTCCAAGATGTAGGGCATACTTCTCCAAACTGAGACCACCACTCTTTAGAATCTTGTCTACTGGAGTTTTGCCTCCCAGCACTTCTTGCAAACCCTTGTGTCACCCCTTCTGACTTTCCACTGATTTTTCAGCTGTTTAATTTTAAAGTGTATATAATTTAACCATGAGAAGTCAAGATCTTTAAAAATAGGAAACAAAGGCAGACAACAGAAAAATTTCAGTACATACAGAGAAAGTGTTTTCAAAAGGATATCAAATTATAATACATTTCACTAACAGAAGCCTTTATACTTACAGTCGGAACATATTCGGATGGAAATTTGTTTGTTGTGTAGGATATCAGGAGACATGTTTTACCAACAGCACCATCGCCCACAACAACACACTTAATTGTCTGCATTGCTGAAATAGTTTTATATCCACTTTAAATATTTCAAATCTGATGGTGACCTGCAAAAAGATTGAAGATATTTGTTTATGTGTACTTATATATGTATTTTTTTCTCTCAGATAACAACAGGTTCATTCATTCAGAGAAAGAACAGAACTAGTAAAATTATTATGGCTGAAAGAACCTAAAGAGAATTAGTGACTTGCTCAAAATCACAATAACCAATAAAAATCAATTTCTGGCCAGGCTCAGTGGCTCACACCTATAATCCTAGCACTTTAGGAGGCTAAGGCAGGATGACTGTTTGAGGCCAGGAGTTGGAGACCAGCCTGGGCAATAGCAAGACTCCATCTCTACAAAAAACTTTTAAAAAATTAGCCAGCATGGTGGTGTATACCCGTAGACCCAGTTACTCAGGAGGCTGAGGCAGGAGGATTGCTTGAATCCAGTAGTTTGAGGTTGCAGTGAGCTACGATGACACCACAGCACTCTAGCCTGTACTACATCCAGTCTCAAAAACAAAAAAGGGCAATTTCTAAGTTTCTGATCCCTCGTTGTTTCGACTTCTTAAGTGTTATTTTTTAAAAAGTGCAAAGTGGTGTATTGAGCAGCATATTTCTTTTTATAATGAAACAGAAAAGGCTATATCAGAAAGAATCCCATGTAGTTTGCCAAATACTATTCTGTGAAACCTTTTCTGTACACACATGTGTATGTAACGCACGTATGTGAACTAGAGCACAACACAAAGGCCACTGCTTTAAAGAATGATTCATTACTCAGCCTTAGAACTATAGTTACTCAGGCTCTAACCAACAAGCAGTAGCACCATTACCACAACCCTTCATATTATATGAGCAACATGAGGAACTGAGCAAAGATCAGGGTGACGTCTGGTCTCAGCAGCTGTTTTGACAACAGATTGCCTAGTTACTAATTCAATATTCATGGCATGTAGCATCCAAAACCTACATTTTTATAAGGAAAAAGTCAGATTGTTCTAAATCATATTGACTCATAAACAGATGTAACTATTTTAGCTTCTTTTACTGTAGTCCTTCAATCTAAGAAGCTATCGATTACAAATGCACCAGAGATTCCTCAATATTGAGATAATTTTTTTCCACAATTCAACATCTCTAAAGTCAGAATGGGCCTTTATTGAGGGTGTCTTACAATCATTATCAGCTATTTTTCCTCCACATTTTAACTTCTATGAAATTGGTATAAATGCAATCTTAGATTCAATGAAATACTTCTTCATTCTCTCAGAAAAACTGTCAAAGAAACAGCACCCTAGATATACCTAGATTTTAAGAAAAAGTCCTATTTCAATTATAATCCTGAATTTCTTGTTGGCTAGAGCTGCCACCTTATTAAACATAAAAACAGAGAGCCACCTAACTGTATCAGATGCCATGCCTATGTGCTCCTATAGCACGCTTCACAACGATTCATCATACAGGATTTATAATGTCTACTAACACTGTATGTAATATATAAGCTATATTATCTCATGTACCACTGTACTTCTAGCAGTGAGCACAAAGACTGGCCCATTGCAAGCTGCTGAACAGACGCAAAAATCACATAACAGAAGAACATAAAACTATATTAGGAGTGAGTAACCCATAGGAAATACACACTCTCCCATTTCTCATCAACTATTTGTATTAGGCCAGGTACAGTGGCTCATGCCTCTAATCCCAGCACTTAGGGAGGCAAGAGAATCACTTGAGGCCAGGAGTTCAAGATCAGCCTGAGCAACATAGGAAGACCTTGTCTCTACATAAAAATTTAAAGATTAACCAGGTGCAGTAGCAGGCACCTATACTCCTAACTACTCTGGAGGCTGAGGCAGGGGGTTCACTTGAGTCCAGGAGTTTAAGGCTGCAGTGAGCTATGATCACACCACTGCACTCCAGCCTGAGAGTGAGACCCTGTCTCCAGAAAAAAGAAAAATAACCCACAAAACTATCTGCATTATTGCTTTCTTTCTTTATTCAACTTCCTTTCGTCTCTCCTTTTTCCTACCCCTTTCCTTATTATGCACAAGAGAAGTACCCATACTAATACTGCATTAAAGGTTTAAAGATCCTGATCCCTAAAGTAAATCAATTATTGCTTCAACCCAAAAGTGCTCTCAAATAATAATAGCAATAGCAGCAACACTTATAATAGCATTTACTATGTGCCATATACTGTTAACATTACACATATTCACACATTTCATACTCAAAAAAAATCCCCATAAGGTATGTATTATATTACCTCTATTTTACAAAAAGTGAGGCTCAGTGAAGTTAAGTAACTAGGATGAGGTTATTCAGCCACTAAGCGACAGAACTGGAATTTAAACCCAAGCAGTCTGATTCTCAAGTCCCTGCTCCTAAGCATTACACTATACTTCCTTCTCCTGAGAGTGACAATAATAAAAACAAACATGATCACTGCTAATAGAGTGGGAAATATATATACATGAGAACTGCCAGCAATGCAAAGGTGGTAGAAATAAAGAAGAGAAAGCAAAAAAACAGGAGTTCAGTTCCCTTCCTGTTTCTTCACTCTGCAGATAATTACTGAATTTTATTGGGAGAAGGAAGCTAAGAACAGAGAATAAGAGTTTGCTTTTCCCCTTTCTATTTACCCACAAATCTTCCACTTCTTAGGCTTCCCAACCTAGCAGCTCAGCAATTTGTTGGAAACTGGCTGTGGGTCCCCTGTTAAGAGCCTGGGTTCTAGAATCATACTGGCTCCGCCACATTCTAGCTATGTGACATTGGGCAAGTTATTTAACCATTCTGTGGCTCAGTTTTCCCTTCTCTAAAACTGAAGATAGTAGTACCTTCCCCATAAGATAAACTGATTGAATAAGATAATACATGTAAAGAACTTAACAGTGCCTGGCATATAGAAAATGCTCAGTAAATGTTAACATTAGTCTTGAATGAGTAAAGGCATCTTTAAGTCAATATAAGGAGTTTTAAAACAGTAACACTAACCACTGAGAAACACATAAAATTTTTTTATTTCTAAAATAATTTTGGTACAGTCAGCCCTCTGCATCCACAGATGCAGAACCCACAGATATAGAGAGTCAACTGTACTATGCCATTTTATATGAAGAACTTGAGCATCCCAGGATTTTGGTATATTGATGAGGAGTCTTAGAACCAATCGCCATGGAGATAACAAGGGGACAAATGGACTCATTGTTCTTACTATATATAGATGCAGTCAAATTTAGAGCTACCATTACAAAGGTGGTCATTTTAGAGTGAAGTTCCAATTTAACTAAGACTATTCTACAAAGCACATGGCATACATTAATAACCATTTCATGTGTTAAATAAGAGGAGACAGGGTGCAGTGGCTCACACCTGTAATCCTAGCACCCTGGGAGACCAAGGCAGGTGGATCACTTGAGCTCAGGAGTTCAAGACCAGGCCTCAGCAAGAATGAGATCCCATCTCTACTAAAAATAGAAAAAATAAGGTGTGGTGGTATACCTATAGTCCCAGCTACTCAGGAGGCTAAGGCAGAAGGATTGCTTGAATCCAGAATATTAAGGTTGCTGTGAGCTATGCTAACACCATGGCATGATAGTCCAGGCAACAGAGTGAGACTCTGTCTCAAAAAAAAAAAAAACTGTAAGAGGCCATTGCATTGGACTAAGCTCCTGCACTAGGCCCCAAAAGACAAGATTAAAAATCAAAATAGAGTCACCCATGCTAAAGTTCCTTCTGAGAAATCAGGAAAGAAAAATGACAGCCAACTTCCCAAACAAGGCAATTTCAATCTCAAATTGGCATAATGAAGTTCCCTCTACTATAATCCTTACACAAAAAAAAGCAGCCTGAAGTTACCTGATGTAAATTGATCAATTATTTTCCTATTGTTCTTTACTCCTCACCTTAGAAGAAAAGTAGCTTTGAAACAACGAATACACTCTGTTCCTTGCTTCTACTTTTTCTAGCTCTTACCAGTCTATAAAGCCAACCTCTTCTGCTCAGTTCATCAGAATACTGTTTTACAGAACGAAGTGTTGCCAGATTCTAGAATAGTGATAAAGCCAATTGAGATCTTCAAATTTGTTGTAATTTTGTCCTTTGACACATATATTAAAATGCTACCAGATAATCCACAGATTGGGGTGATGGAAAAGGAGTGACCAGGAGAGATTTTGGTTTTGCAACATGTATATAATGCCAGCTTCAAAACAACATGGAGGAAATTAGGCCAGACATGTTCGTATATCCTATGTTAACTTCCTGTTGAAATAATGTCAAATCACCATACCAAGAAAAGAAGCTACATAATAACAATTGCCATTTTGCTATTCAAAGTAGCTAGAAAAGTTATATTGCACCAGTAACTAAAAACTATCCCTCTTTAATAGTGGGACAGGAAAGAAGATACAATTTATTTCACAGGTAGTTCATTTGTACCACAACTTAGAATTGGGATTGATCAATTTACAGCATAAAAAATAATTCAGCCTGTCACCTAGGTGGTTCACACCTATAATCCCAGCACTCTGGGAGGCTGAGGCAGGTGGATCACCTCAGCCCAGAAGTTTGAGGTTATGGTATTATATGATGGCGCTACTGCCTTTGAGCCTGGAAAGCAGAGCAAGATCTCATCTCTAAAAATAATGATAACATCAATCATAAGAAATAAAATTGTAAAATAAGGTGTATCTTCTACCTTCCTTCCCAGTATATACCTCCACCAGATAGCCACACCAATATCCATATCTTACAGGTTCTTAACACTTTGGGAGTCCAATTACCCTTTGAGAATCTTTGAGAATATCAGAGATAAAGCCCCTGAAATTTTGTGAAGTCTATGAGCTATAGATTAAAGAGGCTATGGAACCACTCTTTAGTATCATTATCATTGGCTGGCTGCCAACTAAACTCCACTAGACAATCTCTGGGAAAAAGATTAGTGTGAAAGAAGAGGTGGCACCCAGCTACAGAAGCCATATTTTCCCATGCCCCATCGTTCATTTTAGGTCCAAGGCCCACACAGCACATGCAAAACTTTGGAGATTATT